TTTCAATTTTAATGCCTAATTTTGTTGAAGGAATGGGAATAGATAGAATGCATGCAGTTGATGGAGGTATAATCAAGAAATTGTTAAGTTTAATGTTTGATTCTAAGTATAGTGCGGAACCTTTTTCATTACATGCAGTTAAAGATATTATAAATAGTCGATTAATATCAATAAAACCTCCCAAATTTGTACATCGTTCAATACGTTCTATCGATGAACTACTTCATTGGAAAGCATCAGGATTAAAAATGTGGTATTTTTTTTATTCTATTCCTGTACTCGAAGGGATATTACGACAAGATTATTTTGATCATTATCTTCTCTTAGTAACAGCAATAACTATACTAAGTTCTGAAAATATTACATTATTTATGATAAATGTAGCTGAAGACTTTTTAAATAAATTTGTTAGAGAGTTTGAAATCTTATATGGTTTAAATTTCTGTTCCATTAACGTACATCAATTACTTCATCTTTCGGAATGTGTAAGAAGACTTGGACCATTATGGACATATTCTTGTTATGAATACGAAAATATAAATGGTAAATTGTTGACATTAGTACATGGAACAGGCCATATTGATACACAAGTTGCTAAGTCTCATGACCGGTACATTAAAATAGTACGATTAATAGATCACTTACCTGAAGGTCCTATTCGAAATTTTTGTTTAAGCCGAAAAAAAACAAGTTAAAATTATTGAGGAAATTTCTAAAAATTGTTTCACTGTTGGTACATATCAAAATGAGCACACAATATCAGACAATCTCATTAATAAATTAAGAAATCATTTTCAAATACTCGAAAATTTAATAATTTACAAATATCTCCGCTTATTAAGGATGGAAAATTATATGTAGCAAAAAATTACAAACGAGATTTAAAAACTCATTATCATATAATTAAGTATGTAAATAACGATCAGTTATGTTTAGGATCAATCTGTTATTTTATTAAAGTTAATAATTGTAATCATAGAGAAGTATGTGAATGTAAAGGAAATCATTTTGCTGTAATTCAAAAGGTTATAACTGATAATGTATTTTTTATTCAAGGAGATAATTTTATGTATGACAGTAATACTTTTTTACAAAAATGTCACATGTCAAATAATACACTAATAATTCCAGTAGTTAATATTGTTACTGTTTGTGTATATATGAATATTAATAATCAAATGTATGTAGGGATTCCTGCCAATCTACAAGAACTTGAATAAAAATAAAAATTTATATACATTGATGAGTGTAATTTATTTCTTTTCTTACAATCTCACAAATTAATAGATAATTATATAATGATACAAATAATATATTTGCATATATATACACTGAGAAAAAAATATAATCAATTTTAATAAATATTTAGTTCGATACTGTCAACTAAATATTTACTTACAGTAAATAAAATGTTTAGTAAAAAAAAAATTGTTAAATGAAATTAACATTTCTTGCATCAAATAAATATATCTTTATATCTAATAAATATTTAGTTGGCATGTATTCAACTAAATATTTATTAAAATTGACTATATTTTTTTTCAGTGTATGTATATACAGGATGATCCAAAAGTATGGAAACGGCCAAATAACATGTGGAGGAATGCACTTTAGGGAAAAAAGTTTCAGACAAAAGTCTTAGGTTTTTTTCCTGGCTATTCAATCGTGACCTGAGATTTGACCTTGACCGTGACCTTGAATGTCATTTCAAGGTCAAATTTACTTTTTTAAATAGGAACACATATTTTTGACCACAGGAATGGAAACAGCGGAAAATTTTACGTCCGGCTGTGACTTTGATCATGACCTTGACCATGCCCTTGAAAGTCAGTTCAAGGTCAAGTTGACATTGTCAATGGAAATTCCTGTAAATCCTATAAATTGGTATCTACGGGTTTTCGGGGACACTGATTACGATTTTGAAGTCGATTTTCAAAAATTCAAGATGGTGGATCCAATATGGCTGACGAAATTTGAAAAAACTATTGAATTTTCCTGCAAATTGGTATCTGGGGGTTTTCGTGGTCGCTGATTACGAATCTGAAGTCCGTTTTCAAAAATTCAAGATGGCGGATCCAATATGGTGGACGAATTAAAAAAAAATTATTGAATTTTCCTTTAATTTGAATCTAGGAATGTTTTGTGTTGCTGATAACGTCTAGGATCTGCTATACCTGAAAAAATAAGGTACACCCAGGATGTGCCACGGGGAGGCTCCTAAGTACGATTTACGTTCCATTTTTTTTACTTCTTTTGTTTTATTGTTTTTTTTGTTTTTAAAATTTCTTTGTGGTTTTTTTGGTTTTCTTTTTATTTTTTATAATTTAAAAGAAATGATCATGAAACATGAAAATGAACAGAGAAACATTCCTACTTTTTAAATGTTAAACATCTTCTTTAGTGTGGTAGATTTCGAAGCATGGAACTACGCATAATCCCACATCACAGTCCTGACAAAAATAAAGTGTCTCTTTTCTCACTTTTTTGCCGTTAATTAAGAACTCAACTTGATATTTACTAATAAAACTGATAAATATGAAAATGGGAAGTCAGCGACTAAAAAACCCTTGAATATAATTTTCTTATTAAAATTCACTGATTTTTTAATGTTTATGTCCGCCGTATTGGATCCGCCATTCTGAATTTTGAAATTCTCACTTTACATTCGTAATCAGCGACTCACAAAACCTCTAGATACTAATTTACAGGAAAATTCAATAATTTTTTCAAAATTCGTCCACGATATTGGACCCGCCATCTCGATTTTTTGAAAACGGACTTCAGAATCGTTATCAGCGACCCCGAAAACCCCTAGATACCAATTTACACGAAAATTCAGTAATTTTTGTAAATTTCGTCAGCCATATTAGATCCACCATCTTGAATTTTTGAAAAAGGACTTCAGAATCATAATCAGCGACCACGAAAACCCCTAGATACCAATTTGCAGGAAAATTCAATAGTTTTTTCAAATTTCGTCAGCCATATTGGATTCACCATCTTGAATTTTTGAAAATCGACTTCAAAATCGTAATCAGCGACCCCGAAAACCCCTAGATACCAATTTACAGGAAAATTTACAGGAATTTCCATTGACAATGTCAACTTGACCTTGAACTGACCTTCAAAGGCATGGTCAAGGTCATGATCAAAGTCACAGCCGGACGTAAAATTTCCGCTGTTTCCATTCCTGTGATCAAAAATATGTGTTCCTATTTAAAAAAGTAAATTTGACCTTGAAATGACATTCAAGGTCACGGTCAAGGTCAAATCTCAGGTCACGATTGAATAGCCAGGAAAAAAACCTAAGACTTTTGTCTGAAACTTTTTTCCCCAAAGTGCATTCCTCCACAGTTATTCGGCCGTTTCCATACTTTTGGATCACCCTGTATGTTGTGTGTGTGTGTGTGTGTGTGTGTGTGTGTGTGTGTGTGTGTGTGTGGCGCGCGCGT